CAATTTAAAAAATTAAATATTTATTTGAATAACAAGTTTTAAGTTCGAGCTGCAATGTTGGCAATGCAGATTAACAGATCACAAAAAGCGTGCACAAAAAAGTACTAGCGCAAAGGACAAAACAATGCTAGGAATTAGGCTAAAGAGCTGCTGATTTTAAGGAAACAAAAGRCTTGAAATCACTATACAAAATATAAAATGTATTAAACACTACCATTCACACAACAGCCTTTATTATTGATTATATTTAAAAATTATTTGCGTAGTTAATTATATATTGAATTGTAAATGAGTATTATACATGAACTCCCTATTGGAAGGCAATTCCTTGTTGCACTATAGAACATCTAATTACATTGCAAAAAGTATTCTTTTTTGCTATATCAGTAAAGAAAAGTTAATGATATTATTGTAAATATCAGGAAGGCTACAAAAAGAAATAACATTTCTTTTTTGTCTTCAAAGTGCTTTCCATGCAGACTGAAGCACTTGCCTTGTGAAACTGAATGCACTATTGGAGAATGTCCTGGGTCAAAGAGATGCTCTTGAATKATTAGTCTCAGCTTTACAAATCAAAGATGCAAAGGAATCATGCAACCTTCTTACTACCAGGAGACCATCTTGTCACTTACCAAATCTAACCTTCCAGAATACCATCCAAGATACAAAAAAAGACCAGACTGATATGATAAATACACATATAATGAAAAGACACAACTGTTATGTGACACTACTCTCAGTAATGTCTGTGCTGTGTGAAAGCACCTTTAGAAAGAGCCTATGCGGCAAGAGATACGTGTCTAAAGATTCAAAATGAATCAACAGTATTGGATAACAATATAATTCTCAACTCAGAAGCTGCCTCAAGATTAGGTGCATCTTCAGTTAATGTAACAGGAAAAGAAGGCCATGGATTTCATTTTATTAATTGTATCCACTCACAATCGACCTAAGGTCACCAGATGTGTAGACACAATGAGATTTTTGTTGTTGCTTATAGTCTTTAATTGAAGTGATGATAAAGGAAATAGATCTATTTAAAAACAAAACCAAATAGCTATTTCTGTCTACATTAGGAGGTGGCACCAGGTGTGGGATTCACATTTTGAGTGGCCACTTGTGGTGCAACTTCGATAATCCGGGGCTTGTCTATTATTCTGGCAGTACGGTTGCCCTTCTCTACAATCCCAATAATCCATGCTTGGTGACCTTCGCCATACTTGGGGGACTTTATCTCTGCACAGAACCGAGCAGCCTGCTCACGTGGTAAACATATTAGAAGGCCTCCTGATGTCTCCGGGCAGGTTCCATGCATGAGACCAAACATGTTCCCACAGGCCTTGCTCACAGCAGCCATCTTGGCCAGCACAGGGAGGTTGTGAATCACAAACGACACTTCATTCCTCTGTTGCTTAGCCAGGTTCTGAGCATGGCCCAAGATCCCGAAGCCTGTGATGTCAGTGGCTGCATGGGCATTGAATGTGTGCATAAGTCCTGCAGCTAAGAGAGCCAGARGAAAAAAATACCTTAGTTGAAGAACTCAAAATCACAAACTAGTGAAAACTCATTTGTCAGGGAGATGGCATACAGAAATCATGAAAAAAGATAGTATTACAAAATTAGCAAAATCAATGAAATTCTGATTTTCCTTCTTCCTTTTCTTCCTCTTTTTGTGGTGCTGGGGATAGAACCCAGGGCCTCACACAAGCCAGTCAAATACTCTACCACAGAGCTATACCCCTAGCCCTGATCTATTTCAATCTAAACTGGAACCCGTCAGCAGTTTCAATCAAGAGCTATTTCCAATRTGCTGACAAAAACTATACAGAGGAATTATTCAACAGCAGGTAATTTAGATCTCCTCCTAAATACAAAGAGGACTTTTAAAGATTATTTGACTTAAAATCAAAGTACTCTTGCTAGAGATCAATTATCTGAAAGTTCTTTACTTTTCAATTGAAAAGAATATCAATAGGGGCTGGGGTTGTGGCTCCGTGGTAGTGTGCTTGTCTAGCATGTGTGATGCACTGGATTCAATTCTCAGCACCACATACAAATAAATAAAGGTTCATCAAACAACTAAAAAATATTAATAAAAAAAGAATATCAATAGACTATATTTTGGAGTTTGGGGGTAAGTTTAGGGAGTTCCCACATGCCYCTCCCCCAGTTTTACCTACATGAACATTTTGCATCTACAGCACAATGAGTCAAATTAGTACTTAACTATCAACRAAAATTCATAACTCACGAGGGTTGAGTGTGTTAATTCTACACATTTACAAATGTATAACAACAGCCATCCAACATTACAGWATCATGCTCTAAAAATCTTGTGCTGTGCCTAGTAACCCTCTCTCCCCCAAACCCCTGGCAGCCAATGATCATTTTACTGTCTTTACAGTTTTTCCTTTTCCAGAATGTGCTATCAGATACATCATACTGTAGAAGCTTTTCAGAGTGGCTTCTTCCACRATAGCACCTTTCTTTTTAATATCAATGATATTCTATCATCTGGATATGCCAGTTGTTTATCTGTTGATCTACTGAGGGACGTCCTGATTCTAAGTTTTGGCAATTACAAAATCATGAATAAAGCTGCTGTAAACATTTACATGCAGGTTATTATGTGAATTTAAGTCTTCAGGAGGGTAAATTAACAAAAGCACAATTGTTGGATCACATGGTAATAATGCCCATTGTTCCATATCTTTGTCAGCATTTGTTGTTGTCAGCCTACTGGATTTTAGCTGTTCTAATAGGTGTACAGTAGTAACTCTTAGTTTTTACTTTGCAATTCTCTAACAAAATGAAAGGCTGTGTAGCTTTTTATGATTATTTGCTATCTATGTATCTTCTTTGGTGATGTGTATGTTATGGGGTTTGGCCCTTCTTTTTTTAACTGAAATGTTTTTCTTAAAAAAAAAAAAAAAAAACTGGATTATTGACTTCTAAGAGTTCTTCACTTATTCTRGCCACCAGACGCTTACCAGATACATTTTGCAGATTTTTCTCCCAATCTAAGGTTTATCTTTTCTTCTTCTTAATAGTCTCTCTCACAGAGCAGATTTTTATACTAATGAAGTCCAACTTATCCAATTTTTCTTTCACAGAAAATATTTCTGTGTTTTATCTAAAAAGTCATCTCCAAATTCAATGCTAACTAAATTTTCTATTTATCTTCCTGGAGTTTTACAGTTTTGTTTTTTATTTAGGTCTACATCCATTTGAAGTTAACTTTTATAAAGCATGTAAAGTCTATGTCTAGATTTATGTTCTGCATGTGAATGTCCACTTGTTCCGGAACCATTTGTTGAAAAACATTTTTCCCAATGAATTGCCTTTGTGTCTCTGATAGAGGTCAGTAGTTTGACTATGGCTGTGTCAATCTATTTTTCTATTTCTCTCTATGGATCTATAAATTATTTCTTACAAGTAAAGGGGGGAAAGTATGAAAAATTTATATTTCAAAATAAATTGTTCACAAATAGGTAACAGGTTACTAAGTGCAGTGTCACATCCCTGTAATCCCAGTGACGTGGGAGGCTAAGGCAAGAGGATTCTAAGTTCAAGGCCAACCTCA